AGAATTGGCAGAATTGGTGTCTCGGCTGCCAATAGCATCTGAGAGTAATGCCTGGGGAAAGCAATTAGTGCACCCATGGCTGTATTTCAATTAAGTCAGAAGGAAATCCCGTTGATAAGAAGTTTTTACTGACATTAGCACTTCATATGGCATTTTGATTAAGTATTTAACTACTCTTCCACAAAAATCCATTTGATTAATGACATTGATTCCATAGGATGGTTCAGTGGATGAGAGGGAAATGAATTTAATAACAGAAGTAAATAAAAGACTTTTAAATAATTCTACTAATATCTATTTAAAACTGTGATCCACCTTCATGTCTGCATGTTAAGACCTCTTCACATTCCACCTGTCTGAAGGCAAAGCAGGCAGTGCCATTCCCCATCAGGGCCCTGGAGCTCCTGTGGGTGCTCCCCAGTCTACAGAATGAAACCGTGACCGCACCTCCCAGGACATCTGGTTCTGAAATATTTCCTGAGAAGAATGCAGTTCTGTGGATTATGACAGGAGCTGCTGGGCCACTATTTGACACATAAACTCATTTAAAGGGAATTTGGGGTCAGTGATTCAGAATACACCTGGCTGTATTTCTCAGGAGTTTGTCTCTCCGTAAGCAAACTGAAGCATTTGTGGGAGGAAGCGGGGAGTTCTGCTCTACCCATTTGAGAGTGACAGTTACAGAACGAGGGGAAAATATTTGACTGAAATAAGCAAATTACTCATCATTTTAAACCCGCCTTTCCTTGGGAGCTATATAAAAACATGTTGTGGGCTGGAGTATTGGAACAGCAGTGAACAGAGGAGGATACCTTTGGTTACGTAGGAACTCTACTTGGTCTCTTCTACCTGAAAGTGCAGGTTTAAATCAGTGACATTCATTTAAGGCTCTGTTTACAGGCAGAGGAGCACATTGCTGTTAAGTATAAAAAGAGAGCAGTGACACCAAAGGAAAATGTATTGCATGATGGAATGAAAGGTTTGTTTTTTTTTTTTTCTGGGGGGCAGAGCATGTCTTGATGTTGGTGTATAAGGAAACCAACCACCACACTTAGGGCACAGAGCTGCAGTAAAGGCTTCATTCTGTTCTCAGCTGTGTGGCTGGTGCTCAGTTCTGTTTCATAGTAAGGAAGTTGTGAATCTTTTGGGGCTTTATTCACAGCTATGCTGAAGACCTCTAACACCCTCTGGCAACTTGCTCAGTCTGCTAGACAGTATTCCTTCTGCACCAATGATGTTAGCAAAAATATTTAAGAACATCGACTGAGAATAAAACCATCAACATCCTTTAGTTGATCCAATTATCTCTGTCTAAAAAAAGGTTTTAACACCTCCCACACAGAACAGCAGCTCCAGTAATTTGGCAGTGCTAACAGCGCATAATCAAGAAACATGAGGCTGTGATGTGGTAATACATCCCATCTTGTGTACAGGAAGAGTTTTGTTTTATTTAAGTAAATATATTTTCTGTGTGAGCACCTTTTGCATTACTTGTTGGCGGGTTGCTCATCCCATTAGTATCCGAGAGCTGCTGCAAATGTTAAGCTGCAGATGGGGGAATGGTAACAGGCTGTCGGAGATCAGGCTTTGTGTCGCTGTGTTTAGGATGCTCATGGGGTGTTTGGAGCTCAGCAGTACCTGTGAGTAATGCAGAACAGGGAATTGAAGGGCTGGTTATATAGCTTCTTATTCCGCCAGTGACTAATTCACAGCTCACCTTACGTGTACTGTCATTACAGAATAGTGCTCTGACAAGTCCTTTAATGATACGGTAACTTCCCAGATGGTATTACAACATGTTGTGTTATCAGTAAATTACATCAAAGGCTTAGCATTCAATTAGGATAGGGCGGGCTCTGAAATGAGGCGGTCTGCTGTGTTTAAAATGCACTGAATTGTTCTCGCTGTTGAAATGAGAACACCCTTATGCTGCAAACCTGCTGACAGGCCACAAATGAAGTTTTAAGCTTTAGGTCTGTAGCTGCTTGTGGAATTTTCATGAAGCCAGTGTCAGAACTTTCTTAGAGCCGAGATGTGCCCACAACAACACAGCGAGGCTGGGTAACCATCACTGGAAATAGTGGCCATGGTGCAGACCAGCGGCTGCAGTCCCGACATCCACCTCAGCAGGAAGGCTGGGTAGAGTGAAGAAGCAAAAACTTGTCTTCGAAGTTTCCAGTAGATGAGTAGAGATAGGTAAAGAGCTGGCTGCATGCTTGTCACCAGTCTTCTGCAGAAGACTATCTGAACTGAGATACTATCTATTTGTGCCTAAGAAAAACAACAATAATGATGCATGGCACACTGCGCTGATGTGAAAGGCAAGGGGCCTTCCAGTCCGAAACCTGTAGGGCCAGCAGGCAAGGAGCGCCTCCGAGCTGCTTATTGCTACCTGATGCTTTTACGGAGTGAGCAGCACAACGCATTAGCAGGAGCGGGCTAAAACAAAGGAAGATCGTCTCCCACATTGTGATTGAACTCAGATATTTGTGGTGGAAGGAAAGCTAATTCGAACACATCAGAAAATGCGGGTCATTGGGTAGCGCAGCCAGCGTCCTCCCGTCGGACGCACGGCGCCCCGCACAGCCAACTCGGCAGCGCCGCACTCCGTCCCGCGCACGGCTCAGACAGCCTCCTCCCGCTGCCCCGCCCCCAGGCCCGCGCTGCCGGCCGATTGGTGCAGGGCTCCTTCAGTCCGTGGCAAGCCCCGCCCCCTCCCGGCGTCGCTCGTGCGCGTCGATTGCCGAGCGCTCCGCACCGTTCTTGCGCCGCAGCCCGCGCCCGGCCCGACTCGACCCGTGCGGCGCGATTGGCTGATCTGGACGTCAATCTCGGATCGGCTCTGTCCCAACCAGCGGTCCCGCCCCCCAAGCGCGGGGAGCGCGTCGATTGGCGCGGCCGGCCGTCGGTCGGCGAAGCGCCCGCCCCTCTCGGTCAGGTAGCCCGGAAGATGGCGGCGGCGGCGGCGGCCGGAGGGGCCGTGTGAGCGGAGCGCGGACGCCGATGCCGCGGAGGGCCGCGCCGTGGAGGTGGGGGACAGCGGCTGCCGCAGGAGCTCCTCGGAGACGCTGAGAGCCTCCAGCCCCCTCGATCGGCGCTGGGCCGCGGGCCGGCGGCGGAGGACATGCGGCGGCACGAGGGGCTCGGCCCGGCGGCCCGGAGGCGGGGGGTCGGCCCGGCCGGGCTCGCCGTCCTGCTGTTGC